CTGAGTCCTCCATTTTTTTTACTCATGTAATGTTGTGGACACTCTGACAATTAATGCTTTTGTAGAAAAATGTCATTTTTCTAAGGAAAGATCATATGGAACTGTAACTGCATTCATGTAGTACAGAATAACATCGTTAACAAGACAACTCAATGAAATACAAGTGAATAGTGATACAGAATTGAAAAAAATGGCATATGTATTTTCATCAGTTATAATTTCTGCTGCTGATCACTGGTTATGGCTATTCTAGACTATGTTGTATTAGATTAACACTAAATCTACACAGAAAATGAACTTGATCAAAAGTGGGTTTTGAGACTTTTGAAGTCAAACGACTAAAAGGATAGATTAAACTTGAAATCTAAGGAAAACCATCAAATATAGAGCTTACTTATTTAAAATAAAAAGCGACAATTCATGATAGTCCAAATGAACTAACAAAAGGGGTTAACTGATTAAATAAACCAAGTTTCACTCAAAACAATAAGAACACGGTTTCTTTTCCAACACACACAGCATATAATAACTACGTTTATCACTGAATCTAAGTCGTATGTAAATTGGAACATGTAGAAAATATTTAATTTGACGTACTGTAGACCAAAAGAGTTTTGAAACTAATTCGTTTTGCACCAGTCAGTTACTGTAGTTTAGTCAATACCACAGTAGTCTAGTTGACATAATTCAGTGATATTTGTTAAATGTTCTTGAAATGTGACAATAATGGGTTTAGTGATTTTATAATGAACTTAATAAAAATAATCGTGAAAATTCTGAGTTTTAACTTTAAGCTTTACCATTTATTATTTGCATATCTTAGTTTCATATTAAATATATTTTTTTTAAAGCACGAATAAATATGTTGTGAGGTGATGATGGAAATTTAATTCATTTCGTTTTCATTAATCTCTTTAGAAATGAACTATCCTTTTACATAAACAAAGTCACTGGTTTTTAACTAGGCAATATCTAAACGTAAATGTTTAAGGTTCAAACTCCTGTAGATTTAATAGAAGAACAATGTTGTGGAGCTCTAAACTAAGTTAAAAGAACTGTTCAGTGGTCTATTAAATCCGTGATAACATCCTATCTCAGAAAACGAATTTGGAGACTATCTGAAGTGAATTTATTTCATTTCGAACAGTATTTGTTAGTGTTAATTGTACAAAACTAATAAATACGTTAATGATAAGCCATATTTTACATAAATTACTTTCTATTTGAGCTAATGAAAAAAAAGCTGAATGTGTACAGAATAAAAGCCAGTATAAATCATCTCATTTACATTTAGAACAGATGATGATATAATTTACATTTACTTATAGTCATTCAAATAAACTTTTACAAACTCAAGTTTGAATAGACTAAATTTTATCTGTAAAATTTCGAACATAATCATGTGAATGTAGTACATAAAGTTGAATTACTGATTTTTATATTCATATGGAAACTACGTGTTTTATGACTTCTAAGCAATAAGTAAGGTAAATGATATAGCAATTTATTGATTTCTAATTAGTACAGTTTTAGAAATTGTCATTAAAAAAAGTTGAGAGCGAAAATAATAAGAATAATAGATAACTGAATTATGTTCATCTGGACAAGAATGAATGATGAACGAATGACTAAATTTCAACGATGTCAATGTACTAGAAAAAAGAAAGATTGTTCCTATGTTATTTAGACCAAAGAAAATATATTATACATGGCGCCTTTCCAAAAATACAATTATTTTAAACAAATCGAAACAAGTACTATTTCAATAAAGATTTAATTACAACTTTTCAGTAGGACTATTTAGTTTAGTAATTTATCACATCGATTAGAAAAAAAGTACAATATCTGACATTATGACTACATTGTAGTACATCTATCTACTTCTTATCGACTGAAACAACAACAGAAGTGAAAGTGGATTAAGTGGAATTTGACAATATTGAAAGGGGCCGATTTAAAAGAGAGGAAAGAATGGTTTTGGTAGAAGAACTCAGTTTCAACTGGTAGGTTTATCCATATTGTTAGTTAGGTTGAAATAAATGTTTTCTAATCAGTGTCATAGAAGTAAACGAAAAATTGATTGTTCATTTTCTAACACATTAGATAGTATTATTGGTGTGTTCATGTTCTTAATGGAATAATTCAATAAGCGGATATAGAAATATCGATAGGTAGATTGTAAGTAAACTCCCATTGTATGATCAGATGTGACTATAGGCATGGTCACTATACTAAATAGTAATGTGAATTTACTGTTACTGTTATTATATTCTCTCATCCTTTTCTTTTTTACATTTCTAAGTGTAATCGCCTCACAAGAAAAAAATTCTGCAGTCATCTGGGACACTTCTGTCGCATATAGAAAGAGTGTGTATGCTGTGCAGACGTTTCGTACGTATTATTTCAAAAATGTCAATAAAGGTCCACAAAAATAAAGCGATCAGCATAGATAGAAAACGGTTTATTGTATCTGTTGTCTATTTATTGTCTACTGTCGAGTAGTTAAATACAAAGTAGGAATGATATTTCAGTTGATGAGCTTATAAACTTTCATTAACTAAGGTGATTATAAAATGTGATACTGATGTCTGCTTAGATTTACTGAACTATTTTAGCAACTTACATTCAATTGAGTTTGCTCTCGTCTAATTCGGTCAAGCCCTTTTGTTAACTTATTAAACGGAAAAAGTCATCTGTACTATAACAACTTATTGTACCTTTATTACTGATATGCTTGTATGAATAAGTATGCTTGAACATTGTTGACTGCCCACGCATATATTCATCCCGCTAGCCTTATTATTAGCCGCTTAATCGATTCGATATCCATTCATTTTTCGATATATATATATATATATATATATATATATATATATATATATATATATATATATTGAAAAATAGTGTAGTGGCTGTGCTTCGTTAACCGATCACCCTCGTAACCGTTATCATATAATCCTCAACGGTGTTTGAAATCAGAAGGCAAAGAGTTATCTGCTAATAAAACTGTAGTCGCTGTTTCTCTTTGCCTTCTGATTTCAAACACCGTTGAGGATTATATGATAACGGTTACGAGGGTGATCGGTTAACGAAGCACAGCCACTACACTATCTTGACAACCACAAAAGTATACTGGACAAAGCTTGATGCTATTAAATTAAGACGTAGCACCAATGTACACAAAATTATTAAGAGTTGAAAGTACAAACTTATTGTTTATGATGCCATTCAGAAGAACAATGAAAACTCCACGACTAAACCATTCAGCTCAAAGAACAAAATTGTATCATGTTTTTAGAGTTAACATTTCATTTACTTAAAATGTCGATCTCATTCAATTTTTTAATCAAACTAATTTTTTTTCTTTAAGGAATATCAGAATTAGTGATTTGGTTTAAAAGTCTTTTATAGTAAAAATTTACTTTTGTTAGGAGTAAATTGTATGGTATAAATCAATATTTTAAGAAACAATACGTCAATATATATATATATATATATATATATATATATATATATATATTTAACTATACCCGTATGTCAATTATGCACATACAAAATTGCATAAAAAAAATAAAAGTAACACAAAAATGACTAATTACTCTTTGTGATATGGAGAATGGTAATTGATAGATTTTGTTACTAAATGAAGATGATAAATAAATTGAATTTTTTTCATATTTTGAATAGTTAAATTGAGATATCTCTTTGAATAAAATTACATTAGTTTAACTGAAGCTCGACAAAATTTTATCATTATTACCACTATTATTATTACTATTATGGATTTTATTGAGAAACTTTTTATAACTATGAAGATAAGCATGAAAATCGGTTGTAACAGTGTTAGAAATGGAGCATTCAACAACGCTTTCTCTCTCTCTCTGTATTATCAGTTAAATGCATAATCTCTGTCATTGTCTATTCACATGTTTCATACACCATAGAATTTGATTATTTGTAGCTTTCAATTTGAGTGATAGAAAGTAAAACGATACAATATAATCTTTATTGCAAATTTTACTCATCACTAATTTGATTATGCAATAGAAGACTATAATACAACATAATACTTTTACAACTATGATATTTTTGATATAAAATAGAATAAAATACTTCTAATTCATTGAATATTATTTCATGAACCGTCTAATACAAGATATATAATCCATTTTATTTAAGACTTGTCAAGTGAATTTACTTGTAACATAAAGTTGATGTTATCACTGACATTTTGTCATAATATCTAATGTTTCAAACTCAAGAGCGTTATTCACCAGGTAAGCTTGACTGAAGATAGAATACGTTTTATGTATTGCACAGCTGATAACTAAACAAAATGTAAACCATTTGTAGTGGATATGAGCAACACATCGAGGGATCTTTTTAAGGTGTTTATGTATTAAGAGATACCAATGAAATTTGATATCAGTATAGGGGTTGTGAAGATTATTAAGTTTTTGAATGGGATCATAAACCGATTGATGTTAGACCGCCATTGGAAACCTGGAAACACTGGACAGCCGTTTCGTCCTATTGTGGGACTCCTCAGCAGTGCGCAGTGGTCCAGTAGGTTGAGCGTTCGCGTGCGAGACTGAAGGCCCTGGGTTCGAATCTCATGAGCAGGATCGTGTATGCGTACTGCTGAGGAGTCCCACAATAACACGGAACGGCCGACTAGTGCTTCCAGGTTTTCAACGGTGGCCTAACATCAATCGGTTCATGATCTCAATCAAGAAATTTAATATTTTGAATATTGACAGCAACAAAATGCATAAACTTTTTAAAACAAGATATTATCCAATTTTCAAATTTTTCCATCTCTATCACTTCTTAGCAAATTTATTCAACTCCCTGTTATTGGATGATGGTTTGTGAAAATCGAATGAGCTATGTTTTAAGAATCCTACTATACATTTCAAATAAATAAAACCAAATTATAAGTAACTTATACATAGAAATAATCTGAATAGTAAAGGAATGATAAAAAAATTGCTACTTACTTGTCATTTGAATTAAAAATGGTGGCCTGCTGTCTAATTTACCAGCTGCATGTATAACACGACAATGATAACTTCCTGTGTGTTCAATACCAAAAACTGCTATACGTAAATTTCCATTACTTCGAAATTCTGTATTTGGTAAACGCCTAACAGAATAAATTTAAAGTAGGAATGAAATAAACCGATCATAGTGAAAGCATATATGTAATTAAAGTTTCATGCTGAATTTCATCTTTCAATTAGATCAACACGTATTCAGATCGAAATTATTAGTAAGTATTAAAAAATATATACTAAATTTCCTTAATAAGACAAATGAGTCGGTTGCATAGTTTGAGAGTACGTTTCATGTTACATTATGACAGTTAAATACTGAAAGTTTCCATAATAAATTACAAAGGCTGCTTTTGTTTTCCTCCCCTATTGAAAAGAAGTCAATAGTAGTCAACTGTGTATAAATATATAGTCCATTTATTCTCTGTTAGTAAATTGATATTAAGAAGTTTTATGAAATCCTTACATAAATATTTCTGTCAATAATAACTAACACTGACAATATTGAGTTCAGTTAACCGTCAGTTGTAATGGACAGATTGATGAAGCGACAAACTAAGACAGACCAACATGTCACTAGATTCTTTTAATTCCAATTATATTATCTTCGTAACATTATATAGGCTAAACACATAATCGAGTTCATTATTCAACAAAATTTTCGTTTCATCAAAACTGAGGAGAAAACTTAGAGAGAAACTAGCATAATGTAATGAAAATTAATTGTATATTGTCCATCCCCATTATAGTTTAATATACCGTATCCGATAATGAAATATGACTAAATTATTAGTTTCGATTTGTTAAATTAATCATAATCTATCTGAAGTTTGTGCTGATGATGTCGTTCAGAAGAACGATGAAAGCTCCACGACCAAACCATCCAGCTCAGAGAACAAAACTCCATCATAATCATAATCTTGGTTTTGTAACAGCTTTATTCAGAATTCCGATACAAGATCACAAGAACTTACTAATACTCATCAATCTAGCTAATTTTATTCCCTCATCGGGAGCTAACTGAAACTATGCTTACTACCATACCGAAATCAGTTAGAATCTTGTTCAACTTGTTTCCCTACATTATTAACATCGTAGGTTTTTATGCATTTAAGTCTGTGAATAGAGTTTAATAGCCATTTGTCATATGAACCTGTTATTTGCTGTCCGCAACACAATAATTATTTGTCTGTTTTCCACTTGAATAATTACAGAGAAGACAAGTTGATGAGATGTTTACACTCTCACTGATAAGCTACAGTAAATATGTCCGAATCATCATATGTATAAGTTTACCATAGAAAGGATAGACAGCTGTAGATAAGCAAAAGAAGAGGAAGAAAGATGGAGACAGGTAGAGAGAAAATGAATTGATGGGTAGTAGTTAGTTAGTAAATATTTAGATGATCAAGTAAGAATAAAGAAATAAGGTAGATGCATGTATGCAGATACGCATATACGCCTATATGTATATATGCAAAGATTACAATAAACAGATATCTTTTATTAATTTGGGAGTCGCCTGCCTGTTTTGTCATTGTTAAAACAAACACCAAATAATAATAATAATAGATGATTATGCGATAAATTCACGTAAAACCGACTTTACATCAAATGAAAACAAATAAAGTAGAAAGTTTCCTTGACATTATTTAAATTATATTGTTATGATAATAAGAAATAATAATAAATATAAGAATTAAAATATTAGAAGAGAAAATTTGTGGATAAATAACTGTAATAATATTATGGGTAGTGAATATATGATAGTATACTATAGAAAAGACTATGAATAAAATAAGGTTGAATAAAGAATAGAACATGAAAAAAACCAAACAATTAAAGATAAACAAAGTACAATTAATAATAAAGAGAATAATCGATATCTAGAAACTGTTTTTATTTATGGTTTTTATATCAGTTTCTTATTACACTATAATGAGATTATTAATAAATTAACAGATAAATGATAATACTATTGATTAGATAGGTTGATGAGATTGTTAAATACAACGTATATATATATATATATATATATATATATATATATATATATATATATATTTATATATAAGGTTTATTAAACTAATAATCTAAAACAATTCCGTTGGAGTTACTTCATAAAAATCATAAAGTTTAATATAGGATAAAAGTATAGGCATTCTAAATTCTATTCATTTCATATCCCGAACAAAACAGAGTGAAACAACTATGTTTAGATGACTAAATGATATGTGATTTGATTAACATATCTCTTTCAACTGTAACCTAAGCATTTTTCGGTTCAGTTAGTCAGCTACAAGATAGGATCAGGCACATATATGCATCGGTCGAAGTTGCCATACATCATTAGCACAACAAGATGATCACCAAACCCATAGAAGCAGTTACTTCAATAGTAGTATATAAAAAAGCATTTCATATAACGAGATGATACAAGGAGAAAGAATTAGTTCGTAGAAAGGTGTAAAGTAATTTTAATCTCACGGTTTAAGGGAAGACAGAGTATATACACCTACGCCATTGTGATCTATTCTGAGCCATGTCACACAGTGTCTCCAACCATTGGTTACGATAGTCACGCGGATCCAAACCAAGTAGTCTGCATCTACCGACATGGCTCAGACTAGAAGTTAGTGACTTCAAGCCCTGATACCATGTTTTGGTTTGGCCGCCCTTAACTTTCTTCCAACCATCCCCAACACTAGTCAGGATTGCGCGTCGTGGTAATCCGTGTTCAGGCATATGTAACACGTGACCTAACCATCTCAGTCGATGATGATTCACAACCTCACCATCGTTCCCTAATACCCTGCGTCTAACCTCACTATTACTTACCCGGTGATCCCAGCAGATGCGAGCAATATTTCTAAGGCACCTGTGGTCAAATACTAGTAGCTTACGAGTATCTTCTACTCATGATGGCCACATTTCGCAGCCATATAGTAGAACGGAACGAACTGCCGCGCAGTATACTCGTCCTTTTATTAATAGACGGATATCTCGCGTTCATCATAGGTGACGCAAGTTGGCAAAAGCCAAACGAATTATTACATCCTTTCTAAGCCTTCTCAACATGCTTACAAACTGACTAATAAGTTAAAATTACCAATATAACAGGACGATTTTTCTAACAGTTTATTAATCAACTATTGACTATCATCATAAACATGATAAGCTTAAAATACTTGTTGTCAAACAGGGTTAACTGAAGAAAAGAATCTAAAAAAATTCTTTTATGATTAATTTTTGCCTGATTCATATATCAATATTACTGTTACTGATAAATATTTCCATATAAAATGGATTAAATGTCTCTAACCAGATTGGAGTGTATGATTCTCTTCCTTAATCACTTGTGACTATTGGTAGTTGGTTTCTCTTGGTTCAGTTCTGTAATGTACTGACGGCAAATACATACAACACAAATAGTGAATACAATAAAACGAATTTCATAAATATTTTTATTTAAATATCACTAATTTCATTTTTAACATCAATTTTATCAATCTTCCGATCAGTTTGTACTATAACTTTCAATGTATTCTTGTCATTGCTTTTTCAGTCTTCGAATGTAATAGCTTAAAATTATAAATTACAACTGTGATATAAAAATATGTATATGTAGCAAGTTAAGATACAAGTTCATTCTCTTGTATCAAACATCATTCAAAGCATTTATACTATTTCATAATTCTATCAATTACTTTATAATAATTCATTAACAGAAGTCATCTACTTTACGTTATTTATTCTTATTTTCATGTTATCTACTTGACTGTTAAACTATACTAATGAGTCAGAGATACTCCTCCCATCTATTATAGATTCATGAACTGAATGAAATACATTGGTAATTCAATTAGCCAAGAAAGTTAAACCATAGCTTTTAATACAAACCTATATTATACAAGCCAGCAGCCTCAGCAGCAGTGGGTCTCAACATACACAAAGGGAAGAGCAAAGTTCTCTGATACAGCACAGCATGCAGCAATCGAATCACACTTGATCGAGAAGATTTGGAAGATGTAAAATCCTTTACATATCTGGGTAGCGTCATTGATGAACACGGTGGATATGATGTAGATGTGAAGACGCGGATCGACAAAGCAAGAGAAGCATATTTACAACTGAAGAACATTTGGAACACAAAACAACTGTAAACCAACACCAAGGTGAAAATTTTTAATACAAATGTCAAAACAGTTTTACTGTATGGGGTGAAAACTTGGAGAACTACGAAAGCCATCATCCAGAAGATACAAGTGTTCATTTACAGTTGTTCACGCAAAATACTTCGGATCCATTGGTCAGACACTATCAACAACAACCTACTATAGGAGAGAACAAACCAGATCCCTGTGGAGGAAGAAATCAGGAAGAAGCGCTGGAAGTGGTTAAGACACATATTGAGGAAAGCACCCAACTGTGTCACAAGGCGATCCCTCACATGGAACCCTCAAGACCAAAGGGAAAGAGGACGACTTGGGTTCGAATGTCCATGAATTAGAAGAGCTATATATAAACGTCATCTCAATGTATGCTACTTTGTATTGCTGATATCATATTATGAAGGACAAAATTAATAGTATCGAAATACTATGATTTTTACATACAATAACAGTAAGTCACAAAAATATCCCTGTTGATATTAGAATTACAATGAACAACCCTATTCTGTACATACACCTTGAAATTAGATCAAATAAATACATATAAATGCAAATTCAGATGAGTGAATACACCATATAGAAGAGAATTTTTTAAGAATATAAGTTATCATAAATGTAGGGTATAATCCAATAAGACACAGTGCAATGTAGGAAACAGAATGACATTATTTGGATATGCTAATTGAAACATTTCAGTTGTTTAAACTTAATGTTAGAACAAGTTAATTTTAATTCTTCATTATATTTTCTTCTTCAAATGATCCAATTCCAAGACTAAGTTTGATTCAATGAGTAAATATATGCACACAAACAAGATAAACAAAATGTCAAATCAAATAACTTTTCTAAAATTTACTTATATAATATTGTCTTACCACTGTACAATTAAAAATGAGGGGAATAGCTTTCATGATTTCTTTTTTAAAACAGCATTAAATTATAATTAGATTTTTTAGTTTGTCACGTTCAACTATTTGACATAAATAATCCCAGGAAAACTTAGCCAGTACCATTATATTAATATAATCATAACGTGATTAGAGAATAATTTCCAGATATATAAAATAAACTTAAAAGACGTAATATTTATAACCACTTTAAGTTAAATATTTACTTTTAATGGTTGAATTCATGAGTCGATATATGCTAGACCATTTAGCAAATTAATTAAGTAAACTAAGTAAATCCGCCTAGGGATCCCATGAAAATTTCATGATGAAGTCCCAGAAATTAAAGGAAGACTAAGAACATTTTATCTAATCTTTTACCGATTTTAGTATGCTTCGGAAAATTGCCAGTGGTTAAAGTTTGCCGTCAAACCAGTAAATACTCTTATTTTCTATGCATTATGGAACCTTGAGGTAAAAATACTCTTATTTCACTTTGTTTCTCTACTATTCAAGATTCAAGTGTAAGAGTATATCAGGAATTTAGAAGCCGTCTACAAGCATTTGAATACCATCACATGCCTAAATATTCCAGTAATGATATGGTATCCAATACTTTATGGAATTCATCTCATCACAGCGAAAGGGAAAGAAGATACTGATTGTGAGATGGGTTTATTTTTTGATTGATAACATTAAATAAAACCAATAATTTCATACACCTAGTTCCCTTTATCATTTTGAGAAGAGCAAGAACAAAGATTTTAGCAAAATAGCATGAATTCATTTTATTTCGTAGGTTCTCGTCAACTGCTTACGATCTGTGATATTTAAAAATCATAATTACATAATGGGTTTAAATTACATGCGAGTCTGGTTGGAAGTTGTATTGAAGACTTATTCGTAAAGTATAGCATGGGTGTTAATGAAATATCACAGGTTGTAAACAGCTGACGAAAACCTACGAAATAAAGTGAATTCATGCTATTCCGCTAGAATCTTTGTTCTTGCTCTCTTCAAAATCAATAATGTATGAAGTTTTTTTCTATACAAAATGAGCCATAAGATTTATGAGGCAGTTCGCTTCATTTTATACTGCGAACCTAATAGTAAATGATGTGACTTATTGACAGTACCCCAAGTCTCAGAAAAAAACCATTACAATGTTCTAAATTTCCATTAACTTCAAACACGATTCAACAAACATTATGAATAGGGACAAACTTGGCTCAGAGGTTACATTTTAAACTTAATTAAACGAAACTTGTCGAAACTACAAAGTAGACAAAGTTATTAGATATTATTGATTAGATAGTGAAAATTTAATACATTCACAAGTTAGTCATAAACTGAATACATTATTGGGAAAATATATCATAGGTAAAGTGAATAATACACTTCCGAATTCATATAGAAACAAGTTACCGAAAGTTCCATCTCCAATTCTAAATACTCAGGAATATTTCACTAACAAGAAGTACATAATATAAATTATATCAAACAATCTCCATGATGAATTCATTGATTCCTAGAAAAAGAAAATTGGCATCCTTATTCTAACTTAGATTTTGAATCTATCCAATAGTTATTCAATTAAAGACTTTATAGATAAACATGTTATTATGAGATAGTAGATGACAGTGTGAATACTTTTGAAGAAAATATGAAATCATTAGTTTTTTTCACGAATAGTTTCTAATACTGCTTAGCTATAACAATAATAGCAATAATAATAGGTATCATTACCAAGATTCGACTTGATAATTTTGAATAAATTGAGCAATTGGTAGATTGTTATAAATAAATAATATATGTATGTAATATCCCAATGAGTAGAAAAATTAGATTTTCTGACGTTTCGTGACTTGGTGTAGGTCACATCTTCAGAGAATAATAATAATTATAATATTAAATTGTTTAGTACATAATCAGAAAACCATGAACTGTTGTTTAGTACGTTATGATAAAGGTTTTCATAATGTTAAAACAATACTGAAACTATAATTAATAAAGTATAGTTCTGTAAAATACTCATAAAGCTCTATTTTTAAAAAATTGTGGAATTCATTATATTGTGAAAATGAAAATATAGTATTATATATGTATATAAACACATAACTTACGCATTTCCATTGTGAAACCATTTAATATTTGCTGGACTTAATGGTGGATTCGCTTTAACATTGCATGTTAATTCAACTTCTTCACCTAAACGAATATCTTCATAACGTAGTGGTTTAATCAAGGATACATGAACATCTGGATCCATCCCTTGAAAAGAAAATATTCAAGTGATAATAATAATGTTCCAGTTCGTAAATTTTATCAAATGATCTGAATGAGAAGCTAAAACAGCAATATGTATAGAACACATATCATTATTGTTCAGAGGAATTCAATGAGTATTTTAGTATATTGCTGGAATATGTGGTTTACCAGTTCCTGCCATCTATATATTTCAGCAGATCAATGTATCAATTAATTGCATAAACTGTTCAGGTGCGTTTGTGAAACTTTCACGACCTTTCGCTGTACAAGTTAGTAATGAGCACAATCAAAGATATTGCGATTGCTGACAATATACATCTTAAAAATGTACATTATTCCGATGTTGATTCATGAACTGTTAACATCTAATTGGCGATCACTCAATATATATATATATATATATATATATATATATATATATATATATATATATATATAACGTGACTACGATTTGCTTATTATTACAACAAAATGCAGAGAATTAATGCATTCATAATGTTCTACGCTTCATTGTTTCTGTTGTTACGATGGCTAGTAAACAGAACCATATGAAGATTGAATAGATATACTTCAGTGAATAATTTTGTATGTTATTTGTGCGTTAAATCATCAGTTGTTTTAGTGCATTGTCATCCATAAATGATAATTTTTTTACTCAGATATGTACCCAATGTGTCCTAGATATGGACCTAATAAGGCTTGTTACATATTGTATGTTGTGACCTTGTAATTCAAGCATGTAGTTGTGTGAGTATAAAACGGTTACGTATGCCCAGTCATAGTTAAACTGGTGATTTAATGACGAGAATTGCTACCTCAAATGATCTAGTCACATGCTGATACTTATTTTCGATTTCGTATACTGTAGACCGAGAAATATACTTTATTTGCTAAGGCAGCTGACACCCATTATTTGAAAAAAAGGGTTACAATGACCAGAACGTTAGTTTCATATTTATCCTGGATATTTAAAAGATAGGGTATCTTAATTTTAGTAAAAAGAACGATAAGACAAGCTTATGAATTCAAAAATATAGCAATAACAGATAACTAACTGCACCAAACTTTAAGTGTGAAAGTTATAGTCTTTTGAACAAACAAAAATGCATTCAGTTATATGGGTAGTTAAAATTAGTATTCTTTATTCATATTCATCTATCCAAACCATTGAGTGATGAAATGCACATAAACCTTAAATTAGTCTTCTGACAATGAACAGAATAGTTCCAAAACAGTACTATCACCAGTGTAAATTCACTAGACGATTAATCAAAATCATTAAAGGTAATAATCAATTTTACAAGATACCTGATAATGTTACCAATTTACCAAACACATGTTTATCTACTCGACTTTGAGCTACACTAGTCATGTGACAGCTAGTAATATGAACCATTTTTATCAAACCAAAGTAGATATTGTGGTGTTTGAAATTCTAATCTAATGATTGAAAGCCGGACGCTTCCATCACTAAAATATACCTGATAAATCCTAATAATAATTCGTGACAAGTAAGATACTAAGATTTTCCACTATAAGGTAGACAACCGTTTGATAAAATTCAGCCAAGAATAAAAATTACTACCATAAGACTAATTTTCCGCCTTCATCATGATGAAACTTACAGTAAATGTTTACTTTTGCTTCTCTACTAGCTGTCGTGAAAGTTGAAGAACGGTTCAACGCTTGGCATTGGTAGGTACCAGGATCTAATTCACGATCAGCATGTAAAATTTGTAAATTACTATCCACTTCAAGGTAACGTCGACCACTCTCTTTTTCCAATTGTAAACGTGTACCATTATGTAACCATGAGTAATAAATATCTTTTGATGGAGTTACAGCACATCTCAAACGTAATGGTTGTCCTTCTTCAACATCTTGGTCATTTGGACTGACAGTAAAGTAAAAACTATCACTGGATGCACCTAAAAATTGTAAAATATGAAGAAAAAAATGAGTATGCTTACTTATCTCTCCCAGTTTTGATCAAAATTGGATAATATAAATGAACAGTTAAGCACAATAAAATTAGATTAAGATAAATTGGAGTTGACTTGATGCAGTGTGAGTAAGCTTTAAGTTGTAACAGTTAGGTACAAGAACTCTTTACTGTTATGTCTATAGGTAATCATCAGACAGCACTAGATATAGGTTTCTTACAGGTTGACGATCGTTAGAAAGACATATCTTGAACCCTGTATGAATAGATGCTACCTGTAAGTTTTGGATCTGGATAAATCAGTGGTATGTTATCACTAAGCTGTTTAGGTTGTGCCCAGCCTGCATTAAGACTTTATTATGGATCACTGAGTATTAATAAATGTTATATTAATCTTTAGCGGATCACTTATCCATACAAATTCACTAATTCTACTTTATTACTATATAGTATATCAAGTTCGTAAGATAGGTACCGAATTACCATGATGAAAATCAACTTTTCTAGTTTGATAATTTCAATGTATCGATAAAAGAGGATTAAGTCTTTATCGGTCATTCAACTACATGTTAATTATTTTTTTGTTTGTTCATTATTTATAAACTGTAAAGAAGATCAAATTAATTGAATAAAATCCCATTTTGTAGTTAATTTACTTACATATATTTATCCTACTTAACATCAGCCAGTAATCAATGACATGATATAAACACATTCATACAATTTACACGTACAAAACTCTTTCTTTTTTTCTAAAAACCAAATTATTCGCATTATATCTAATGATATAATAAGAAACACAGAAAATGTTTGAATTTCAGTTCACTGTGTAACATTTTTCAATGTGTGATAAAGCAAAAACATTGAGATTCTACTATTTTGTATTTTAAAACAGGTAAATATGACATATTCTATATTGTGACTAACTGTATCGTCATTTCAGATTAAATCAATAATGTATATGTATACATGCAGGTATATGAACTGCCAAATCAACATAGCACGATCGATAGATAGACGAACAAACAAGTTAACAATGTAGACATATATTTATATATTCCAGCTAAAAAGGAATAAGTCATGTTTTCTTCAGTTATTCTTTAAAAAAAACAATAATAACAACAACATAACAACAGAAGTCAATATTTGTATGCAAATGAATGTCACACACTTTCGTGTATTTAGACATTTAATATAATAATAATAATAATAATAATAATAATAAACCGTAAAGGTGGAAAAAGTTAAAACTGACCCATCATGTGACAAAAACATGTAAAAGTTTCTCAATTAACCAATCACTTATACAAAACAGACGTATTCATGTGTACAGGAAGTTAGATAATATATTACTGCATAAATTCAATATTTTCAGATAAATTACAAGTTAGTTTGTTGGTTTTTAATGTTCAATTTTGAGTGATTATTAATTTAAGAAATCAATACATCATAATGCATTCATTGAAGGAAGAAAAACTAACTACATACCAGCGTGATATCTGACTTTATTATGGAAATTAACAAAATATATATAAAGTAGTTATTGATGCCTGCATTCTTCATAGTATCATATTATGTATATGAGGTATATTTTAGTTAATTCTAAATAGAAGAAGCATAATCCTTAAACTATTTTCATCATAAATTAGTTAAGTGAAATGTTTTTGAACTATTGAACTCAATATAAAAGAAACTACAGGACTGATAAGTCCTATGTTCAAATCTCGCGGGGGAGGCGGCATCGAGAATGCGCACTGCCGAGGTGTCCCATACTAGGACGAAACAGACGTCCAGTGCTTCCGGGTTTTCCATGATGATCTAGCTTGAATTGACTCATGATTTCAACTTTTGAAATTCGAGTTACTCGTGATTGATATAATCTTGAAATCTTCGCATTTTCATAAGCAAAAATAAATTAAAATACGAAGTTTGGTTTTCCTGATATTACTGAGAGTATTTTACCTGGAAACCTAATGTTCCGAAAGATAAACACAATACTCTACAGACCATTAAGCTGAAAATGTAAACCATAGATGTCAATTAAGTGGCCTAAAATGTAAGGTGATTGTTTTAAGGCTTGAAAATTATTCATTTGGTTCTTATTGGGTTCTTAGGAGTATACTTTTCAGGATCGCAACTGTCAGTATGTTCTGGTTTTCTCTAACTGTTTAGCTATGGTTGGTCTGCGATATTAATCACACAATTCGTTAGTGTATCACATATCTTTCGCCTATTGGTTATGTAAAAAATATGATTCAGATTGAAAATCACTGAAACGACAATTTTGTTAATACTCGGAGTAATTTTACTTACTTTCAGTCAACTCAAGTATTTAATTGAAATTCAATTAATAACTATGCAAGCTGGTACGGAGGAGTTAACAATCTTGAGATTAAACAAATTTTAGAAATACCATGTAGATGAAAACTGTGCTCTATTCTGATATCCAAAGACTCTACTAATATGTAAATTTACTACAAAAGTATATTTGTTAAGAAAATATTAAAGGTGATTCATTGTAAAACACTCTTATCACAACAAACTTATTTGTTTTAACTGTAAAATTGTATTTATAGTTAGCTAACACATTTACTATGATGTTGGATAATGAGACAGATATTAAGTCGTTGATAGTCTGTTCATAACTTTAATTGTTAATAAGACGTTTTTTCAAAATCACGGTAGGTGATGAGAAGAACTACAGTGAAAATAATCTATGTATATGCGGAATATGAAAGTTAATTGTCTACTTGATGTAATACCAACTTATTATTTAGTGAGAAAATAAAAAAGGGATAGAACCATGGATATGTTGAGTTTGAACACATATTTCGAGCTTTAGATCATGAATTCATAAGGTTATAACCATCACACATCTTTCATATCAGTACTGCGTTTAAGCCGATTCATTCGATTTCGTGAATAATTTTAAAAGATTATTCTGATGGTGTCATATGACTAGAATTGATGAAGTGTTCAAGAGTTCAATTTTTAATTGATTTGAATTTTTGTATTCGATAACCAGGAGGAGTACTACTCGAGGATGAGATTAGAAAAACTACGCGTTATAAACCCTATATAATCAGCTCTACAATGGCAAGTTAACTGACTGATCGATATTGAGATGGCCTAATAGATTATTTTATACTTAAAATATATTTACCAATAAGTTACTGGCTAAAAAAGACAATTCGAAGCTCCATAGAATGAAATATATTTATGAGATCCCGAAAATTAATTTCTCAGTTTGTTTATTGTATTATTTCTCTTAAATCCAGTGGTTATAAACAAAGTCTCTCTTAATGCTTTGAAGTTCTTAAACATTTGAGTTCACCATAAATGGAACTAGAAGTTATCTCAAATATCCATCACACACTAGATAACATTATCAAATTTAGTAGGAAAACCCTGAGTCGATATTCTTCAAACTATCGGAACTACTCAAGTTATCCATAGTCTTTATGAAGTTTTAAATTTCTTAATTAATTAAACGAGTTGTTGATCTTTAAAATTATAATTTCGACATCTTTCAGTCATGTGAATACTCCTAATCAAACATTTTAAAACAAATATTGAATGTAGAAATACTTTATTTGGACCGATTGAACAGGATATATGTCCAAAGGATTATAAACTCTTAAATACATAGAATATACATGTTTGTGAAAGCACATACGGCTCCAGATGTGTTTAAGAATATCAGCGCTTAAAATACAATGTAAGTTAAATAGGAGTCAATAGATAACCTGAAAAAAACTACTTTTACATCAGCCTTTGTGTCTTTTGTCAAAACAAATTGTAAGTATACAACTAAAATCAACCTTTGTTTATCTAACAACCTAACTATAAAGAAAAATGTTAACAAGTGTTATAATAAAGTCTTTATTTATTTATTTAAACACATAAACATCGGTACAACAAGTCACTAAACAGATATGCACCACATAAATCATTCGGTTTAAGTAAAAGCTGGGATACTGCCCGAGTGCTCAAACTGATAGAAATAGGTTAACGTGTACAAATCTACATCTAGACAACATTTTTCTAACTTTTTAAAACTTGATATCAGTTCATTAGAAAAAAGGAAATGTAACTACATTACCTTAAATGCTGTTTTGTTAAAACATGCTTTAGACATCATAGTATATATGACCCTATTAGTTATTCCATCGATTAACCATAGGAATATATCAATAATCTATTTCTGTTTATTGAATAGAATATCTTTCAAACTTTCTAATTAATTTATATAACAAAATTTCTGAATCAATTCCTTTATGAATTCACTATCATTTTTCATTCATGAATAAAACCTAATTGTATATAAAAACATTGAACAAACTCAATAAAACTTAACTGTTATTAATTATATTATCAGATTTGAAATTTAAGAAATTAATGATTAAATTATAGATAGGTAGCTTATTGCAAACGAAATATTACACTAATGAATGTTTTTTACAGTGTTTAAGTTACTTATGTTGACTACTAACTTTTACGCATATAAACAAGTTTAATTTATTAATAGAAGCTAGTTTCAGTATTATTAATATTAATTGTTTTATGCGTAATATCATTATCCATAATAACTGGATTACTTGAAACATGATCAATATCATATAAACATTGGGATTGATTATACAGTTATCTAATACTTCTTTGCCATAAGTATATAATTTCAAAAAAGGTAATTGAATTTTGATCAATTGAATAGTTGCTTTTAGAAAAAAAGAACTGGTGGTAAATGATATACCTTTCATTTAAACAATATAATTTAATTGATTTCACAGTATAACATACATGTAAACATTATTTTAGATGTTTGTATGATTGATGGACAAAAATTTGAATCAAATGATATTAGAATACAAATGAAATAAAGCTTATTTTTCTATATACGTATTGATAAGATTAAGGTGAGATTCAATTATATTTGGGATAGTTGTTAAGATTGAAATTCAGTATCAATTCTTTATCCTAATTGGG